GAAGAAGAAGAAGAAGAAGAAGAAGAAGAAGAAGAAGAAGAAGAAGAAGAAGAAGAAGAAGAAGAAGAGAGACAGAAAGACAGAGAGCCAGAGAGCCAGAGCCAGAGCCAGAGCCAATGAACAGAATTGAAAGAACCAAGACTCTCTATCCCGGTAGTAATTACCCCTCTCTGCATAATGATTACTGTAAAACCAAAAGCTTCAGACTACAGGTACCATTACAGCAACATAAAAATCATGGCTAACATGGCAGTACAAACTAGGGAGGAAAACAGCATTAACTGTGCAGCCACAGCTGCATTAGAATTCCATCTTTTTAAAACTTTGGGTGGATGCCTGCTCTTCAAAAAGTCATTTCAGCTCTTTGAGGTTCTCTCTTTTTTTTTTTTTTTGGATAGTACTGTAGTAGAGTAGAACACAGGGCCTCTCACATGCTAGGCAAGCACTACTCCTGAGTGACATCCTTAGCCCCACTTTTTCTTTTTATAGCACAAGCAATAGTGTCAAACATTGACTTGCAGCTTTTATTCTGCGCTTGCAGCTATTGAGAGCCGTGAGTTATACAGTAGCAACATTGAAAATTCCGGAAGTAAAACCTTGAAAATGCCATGCTTCCTTAGAATTTTTCTCATGCTTTTATTTTATTTTGTATTTTAGGGAAGGATCTACAGGGTGTTCAGTAATATTTTTAAATAAAGGCTTAACCATACAGTTTAATCATGTTTCAGTATTACATATATATTGAAAAAAAATACTATATTTGCTTAGTTCTCAGGGGTTTTTCAAATGTGCTGTTCCCCCTTAGAAGAGTTTTTAAATCCAGATTCATTAACGTTAACCCATGTTTTGTGTTATTTTTGTTTTAGTAACATGGTCTGTGTGATTCAGCTTTGTCCAAATCTTATCATTTCAATATTTAATCACTATGAACATTACTGAGAGGTTTTTCCGTTTCCTTGATTTTGTAAACGCACCACAGAGGACGCAAATCGGCGCAGATGCCCCATTTCTGTTCACGCGCTCACGTGGTCCGCTGTATCCGCAGACATCCCTTCTGCATGTGTTTTTTAAGACACGTTTTTTCTGCCTTTCGGTTTATTTTATAGAAAGTGGTTGAACTTTGTCTACTAAAAGTCTCACGAACTTTTTATTGTGAGTCAGCTGGAGTTACACGAAGTTGCCCCGCAGCGGGGATGGTCCCCACCCCCGGCCCACGTGCGCGCTGTCACCGCTCGAGCCGCCGCAGAGCCGGCCGCCGGGGGCGGAGTCTGGAATGACGCGCACCCCGCCGCGCGCTCCCGGAAGTGACGCTAACGTCCCGTGCGTGCGTTCAGGCGGCTGCGTCGGGCTGTAGGAGAAGATGGCGGTCTCCACAGGTCGGTTTCTGGGGCGGGTTTCCTGCTTTCCCGCTCGCACCTGGCGTTGCCCCTCCGCCTGTTCCTGGGGGTCGGGGGCTCGTGGTGTAGGGGAAGCCGAAGCGCGCTCTTCTGACCATTGCGCTCCTTGTGGCGCAAAGCCCGGGACCGGGCAAGCTCCGGGCGGGACCCGCGCGGATGCCAAGGGCCTGGGGCGGCCGGCAGGCAGGGGTGCCTGGTTGTGCTCGCGCGTCGGCCGTGCGCTCGCGGCTGGTGGGGTGGCCCCAGCTGGTGTGGGTCCGAGTTGTGGGTTGAAGGTGCTGGGGGAAGTAGGAGAGGAGGCCCAAGGGGGGAGGGTGTCAGCTTCGGGTGCCCAAGGGGAAGGCCTCCCGGGTCGAGCTGGGGGGTCCCGACTTCCCTGACGCTCCGCCTGGCTTGGGTGGGGGGGAGGAGGAGGAGACTGGAGACGAGAGGACGATTGCTCTTAAGGTGATTATTCTTACCTATGTTATCTTTTTTCATTTAAGTGAAAAGCTGCAATGCAGACAGATTAAATGCATAGAGCAAGATGAAAGCTAATTGAAGAACAAGTGGTTTCTTAGATAAGCTGTTCAACTCCTTTCATACTGAATACAGTATTTGATTTCCTCTGAGCACAGACTTTCAAATTAAGTATTAATACTGTAGTTTTAAAAATTGGACCGTTTCAGAAATGTTAATAAATTGAAAGTATTGTTTTTCTATTTGAAAACACAGTATGTCTGTTTTAGTTTTATTGATCTAGGTTATGAACTGATTTAATGTTTCATGCCATTATTGCATAATAAAATGAAATTCTAAATCTGTACTAAAATAGAAGGCTTTAAATATATGTTGCAATTGATATTTTAAAGGTAATGCCTCAATACATTCTGAATGTCTGAAATCATCTTATGTATATGTATCATAGGTGATAACATCTTTAGCAATTTCAGCTTTGGGAAATATTTCAATATTCTTGGGCATAGCTAGCTAGCAGAACAAAGTGATATTTTAGTGTTAACAACTTTAATTAGTGTACTTGCTGTTTGAACTCTATGTGCCTGTGTATGGGGTCATATCTTTTAAGAGTTATGCTTAGTACCTATAGCTTTTTTTTGTATTGGTTTATGTTTGCAATACATTATAATTACATTCATTTTAGGAAATTGGTACATATGCAGTATATCTTGATCAATTTTGGTAGTTTTCCTTCCCCTTCCAACTCTTCCCTCATCATTTTCTCCATCTCCAAGAAGTGTATCTTCCTGTTTCCTACCATCTCTTTTATTTTACTATTTATACTTTGGGTTGGGTTTCTCATAGAATAGAACCCTGTGATAATCTTCTGAATCTTTTGTTTTTCTGAGGCAGGGTCTGTCCATGCTGTGTAATCTAGGCTGGTCTCGAACTCGCTAGTTACCTAGGCTGGTCTGGAATTCTGTAATCCTCATGTCTCAGTGTCCCTAGTGCTGGGGTTGCAGGCTTGTGTAACCACATCCATCTAAGTTTATCCTTAATAGCCCAGTGATACTCCATTGTGTAAAATAGCACATTCTTACTATCTGTTGGTCTTGTTAGGCATCTAGGGTTCTTCCATAGTTTAGCTATTGTGAATTGTACTGCTGAAGGCATGTATGTGTATACTACTGTGGTATGATTTCTTTTATTCTTTTGAGGAAATACCTAGGAGAGGTATAGCTGGGTCAAAAATACAGTATCTGTAGTTTCCTGAAAATGAAAGAAAAAAAAGTGTATTAATTTGATAGTTTTCATTTTGTGATTGCATTATTTAAGCAATATTTTCTAACACTGTTCATGTGAGAGAATGTTAAAATATTTTGAAAAGACCAGAGGTTACATATTAATGGCACATACTTTTGTTAACCAACTGTTTGTGGTTTTTCTGGCTTTTTTTTTGGTGGAACTGGGGATTGAACTCAGGCCCTTGTGCTTGCCAGGCAAGCTCTTATTCTACTGAGCCATCTCCTTGGCCCCGATTTTTTGTTATTTGTAAGTGAATATACATTATAAATGAAGTGCTGCTAATTATAATGTGTATTTCCTACACATTAGAACACTATTTTTTGGCTTATTTATACATTATAGTTTAACTTTTTACATTTATGAAATTTGAAATATGACAAAATATAATTTAGGCAGATAATTTAATGTTCTTAAAATACAGAAATTTAATTTAAGACAAACTTGCATGAGGTCTGGTGAGTGTAAGGACCAGGGTTTGATCCCTGGCACCAAATGCTGCACTGGCCACTGAGTCTGGGCGTGGTGGCACACACCTGTAATCCTAGTGCTGGGGAGGCTGAAAACAGGAAGATCACTAGGAGTCCGAACTGCATAGTGAGACCTTCTACTAAATACATAACAAAAAGAATTTGCCATGGTCAGTTTCGTATTGTTTCATTGATCTTTATGCTTTAGATAATAACACTGTCAAACTGGGAGGAAGATGAATCCAGAAGAAGCTTAACCCTGTTTTGAAATTAATTGATTTTGAATTATACTGTTAGATACACTTTCGTGTTGTTTGATTTTGGTTGAAAGAGGAAAACAGTACATGTTTATTTCTGAAATAAATTTCACATAGCTTGAAATTTAAAATTAGATGAGCTAGATTAGTGTAATATGCATGTATTTTTTTTAAACTAGTATATCTTGATAAGGACAATTAGGCCAGGAAGGTTTCAAACACCAGCCAACCAACCCTGATAACTTTAAAAAAATAATTTTTGAGGCAGGGTCTCTGAAGTCCAGGCTAGACTTGAACTTGCTGTGTGGCTTAGGCTGTCCTCCACCTCAAGATGCTCCTGCCTCACCCTCTCAAATTCTTGGATTCCTGTGCGACCACACCCAGTAGATGAATACTTTTGGTCTTTTAAGAATGTTATACTTCACTGTGCCATAGCTACTTTTACTATTCTCTAAGTTTTTTTTTTTTTTTAATTTATTTTATTTATTTATTTGTGTGTGTGTGTGTGTGTGTGTGTGCGGTCAGTCCACCAGGGGGCGGGGTGGGCTGGCATGTGGTGCTGGGGGATTGAACAGCGGTCCCTGTGCTTTGCTAAGCTTGTTCTAAGTAGGTGCTTTAGACCACTGAGCCATCTCACCAACCCTCTCTAAGTTTTTGAGAAGCATTCTAATTAGGTTGAGATTTTTTGGCTGAGACATACTTTCTGTTTCCTTCTGGCCCTCTTTGCATATGAGGAAACTGAAGCTAAAAGGAGTAAACTGTTGTACATGATTGGTTAGTAGTAAAAGTTGGTTAATGAAAAAAGGATTAGAATTCAGGTCTTAGTTCAGTGTTTGCTCCATTATGAGAAGCTGTGAATTTGGAAATGATTCTGAAAACATGAGCTTCTTTCCTTTTTAGGCTAGTGAGTGTCTTTCATCTTTCCCTTCACAGAATTCTTGTTTCACACTCAGATTGTGGAAGTGGGACTTGCAGTGGAGACCCTGCTGGCTAGTTCTCCTTTCCAAGAGACAGTCATCATTGCAAGTCGCATTTTCTACAACATAGCTTTAGAAACACTACTCTAGGGAATAGAAATTTATAAATACTGTTGATGTCTGTGGTTCAAAAACTCAAGATAACAGCATTTAACCTAGTATGAGATCAAGTGTACATAGAGCTCATTTACCTTTATAAATAGTTTTAGAGCTACATAAAGTTATGCAGAGGGAATATCTGTATACCTCACATTAACCTTCCACTGTTGATAACTTCCATTACTGTGGTATGTTTGTCATCGTAAACCAATATTGACATTATTAACTAAAATGTGTACTGTACTTAAGTTTGTTTTTAGTTAATATCCTTTTTCTGTTGGGGACCCATCCGGGATACCACATTATATGGTAGTATGTAATGGTCTGAAATGTATCAATTATACTGATGTTGCTGTGGGACTCTAGTCTTTCTCTCTGTTTTTTCTTTTCTTTTCTTTTTTTTTTGAGATGGTTTTACTATGCAGTTCAAGCTGGACTTGAACCTGTGACAAACCTCCTGCACCAGCCTCCTGAGTGCTGGGATTACAGGTGTGTGTCACCATGCCTGGCTTCTAGTCTCTAGTTTCTTTGAATGCAGATGCTTGTAAAATGTCATTAATGAGAAGTTGAGGAAAAATGAAGTATTTTTATTTGAGAGTAGGGTAGGTCTGTGTAAGCTATATGGACAGAAAATGAAACCAAAACCAAAATAAACCTTTTTCAGAAGTGTGCAGCTTTGTATGCTAGTGAAGGGATTAGTTTAGCAGTGTTCTGATTTCTCTATTGTCTCTAATAGGCTGGTTTGGCATTATGGGCAGGTTCTTTAATCATTAATCCTAGTTTTTTTCATCTTTAGATGAAAGCCTAGCTATAAACAGAATTTGGGGAGTAGGAACAGAAGGGAATTATATGTGTAAATTATAACTTGGAACTAAATGATGGAAGAACTAAGCTAGTGTATTTTCATCCAGAGACTTGTTACTGATCTGGTAGACTTTTCTTGCTGCTCTTGAGAATATGATTAGTGCAGCATCACTATATAGGCAGTCCTTTGTTTTTATTTTTACTAAATTTTTTAAAAAATAAGTATTTGGTACAAGGTCTCACTACACAGCTCAGACTTAGTGATCTCCTGTCTCAGCCTCCCCAATGCTGGGTTCACAGGTGTGTACCACCACACCCAATTTCACTGATCTGCATGGAGAACCCGATCTTGTGCTTGCGAGGCAGGTGCTTAGACTGCCGAGCTGTTTTTCCAGCTCCAGTCCTTTGTTTTTAGAGTAGTTTGGGGAGCTAAAAATGATGTGCAAGCTGAAACTGTTCAAAGCTGTCTTGGTAAGTAGAAAAGTTGACACTTTTGATAAGTTTGTCAATATTAACTCTTCTGGCTCCTACAAATTATAGGAAAACTTTAAGAAGTAAAATTAATATTTTGTACAATGCACTTTAAAATGATAGAACAATTAATAATTAGGGTCTTTAATTTTCTTACAAAA